AATTAGTTTTTTGAGAAAAAAAAAAAATTTTTTTTTTTTTTTTTTTTTTTTTTTTTTTTTTTTGCGTACTAAAACATTGCTGCTTGTAATTTGTGTATTTTCCAGGCACATATTGCCATTTTATACCACTATGTTGTTTTAAAAATGCTGTTTATATAAAACATAACTTAATAGAAACTTGACTTTTCAATCTGACTCCTGGAAATTGGGCCTCTGTCTCTTTAAGAAGCTCATGCTCTTCCTGATACTCTGACTTCATGAGTTTGCAGTCGTTCTTCGGACTGTTGGACTCTACCAGGTGTTTGCTAATTGCTGCTGCCACTAGTCTGAAGGAACTGAGTCTGAAAGAAGCTCTGTGAGGAGACTGCAGCTCCAACGAAGAGCTTTGTGGATTCAAAATTTGACATTTCTTCAATAGTAGAAAACAGAAAATAGTATATAAGAGTAGAAAACATTCAGGATCGTTGTAAATTTTCCAATAAGTTACCATTTTTATCATTTCACTCCGTGTTTGTCAGGAGAAAGCCTCAGTTTAGATTTATTGTGCTGAAGTATTAACAGTCGGTATCTGGAAATGACAGATGCAGTCATATTAATCTTTTCTTTAATCATGCCCTGACTAAAAACCTTCAGATTAAACCAGGGCGTACTTTCTTTGAACAATGACTTTAGCTTACAGTAGTATTTATTCAGAAAGCACAGATTGTGTTATTTTCTGTTTCCATAGAAACCTCAGCAAATCACCTGGCTCAGCTCCTGGGTGTGTACTGTAATTATTGGCATCTGTATGTGGGAAGGGCAAAAACACAGGTCTTTGTGTAGCAGTCATTTGTCACCACAGTTATTTGTGAAGGAAACTTACACAATTAAACACAAACAAGCCTGGAAAAATTTCTGCAGTCGATAGAAAATAATTCTGGAAGTTTTACGTCTCAGGTTTGTCTCTAAATTTAATCTTTTGAGAAGGAAACATTTTCAGTAAGTTTAAGAAAGATCCTAACGTTAAAAAATAAAGACGACATAAAGATCATTGACACAGATGAAAGAAGAAGTAAACTGTCAAAAAAAAACAGTTCAAGACTTTCATAATGTAACTCTTGCTAAGTTTGGGTATTTGTGATGCTTATCTTTGTCAGTCACCAGTTTTCAGGGTTTCAAGTTTTGGAAAACTCTTTTGTGAACAAAAATCTGAGAAAAGTGTGAGCTACTAAATGAAATAAATAAATAAATAAATAAATAAATATGTAAGTAAAAAGCAGCAAATGAAAAATGTACCATTATTTACAAAAGCAAAGCACTGATTGTAAAGTTCATAATTTCCTGCTTCAGAGCTGCTGGGTTGTCATCATGTTGGCACAAACAGCATCGATTTTAACAGATTGATTCTTATTACATGTAAATTAATTAAAGTTTTAAGCAGATGATTTTGGTTTCCTCCTTCAGGCTGAGAACCCACTGAGACAAGTTTGGTTAGGAACAGCGATCGCTGCAAAACAGCTTTCTGGAAACAACGTGATCCAAAAACATTTATTTTTTATTAGTGCGTCAGATTCAAATTTAGCACACTATAAGACATTTCTGTTGTATCTGCAGTTACAGGCAGTCATTCACACAGAGCGCAGTCAAACGGCTGAAAGACAAAAGAAGATCAACGATAAAGTTCTTATAGCGCATACCTGAGTTTGGATAGCTGTATTTCCAGTCAAACTTCATTTTCTCTCTTTGCAGAATTTTCTCTGTTGTAATGAAGAAACGGCTGAATTTGCTGTAGCAGGAACACAACTGCAAGTGACGTGATGCACAGGTGCATTTAGAAGTCCTTGTTACACCCAGCCACTTTTAGTTTCCTGAGTGATTGTGCAACCTCATTACAAATTCTCTGAGTCTGCCAAGCAAAACAAATCAGTGACGTTCGTTTTACAGTTCTCTCCGGGGTTGAGTCAGAACGTTTATAAAATAACACTAATACATCTGTAGTGTCACTAGAACAGAAAAAAGATAAATGATAAGATTTAAAGACCGTACCTGCGTTCAGATCGCTGAACTTAGTCAAGTGTAAATGTGTGAAACTTTCCCTCTTACATTAAAAAACACTTAAATTTGTTCCAACAGACAAACATCTGCAACCTGAGTGACAGACAGGCGGTTTTCATAAACCTGGAGTGCGTGTCGCAGCCTCATTAAAATGTCTGAAAACACACCAAGTAAGACAATACTGACGTGTGTCTGAAGGGTTACTCTCCCATGAGTCAGAACGTTTTTTATTTATTACACTGATGGGAGTTGTCACTGCTTTGATCACCACTGAAAAGCAACATGTACAGATTTACATATTTCTGTTTTATGACTTTTTATTAGACTTCTATGACTGCACTGAACGTCACAAAAAAATAGAAAATAAAACCTATTTTCAGTGATTGTTTGTATCTGAAGAAATCTGACGAAGAATAAAAATCCAACTCTAAGGTTTCCAACTTTCACGTTAGAATCAAGTTACGACGTATTTGGTTCTGACAAAAGTTTTTAATTTTGTTGCTCTATTTCCAAAAACTTGTGATTCCTTTAAACTTATCTTTGGATTACAAAAGCTCAATACTTTGTTATTTATTTTAAAAAGTGAAACCCGAATATAAGATAGATTAATTACACATTGAGGGAAATATTTCAATGTTTTTTAACTCCTACCAACAATCAGTAAAGGCGTGGACTAAAACATTTTTGAAGTCTTTGTAATTGATTTTAAAAGTTGTAGAAACAGTTTTATCATATTTGTCAGTTTTATTCCCAAAGCAGATTGTAACAGTCTGAAGTCATATTTGATAAAGTCAAACTTTACAAACTTAATACACACAATAATAAACTGAACCAAACGAATCTGCTTGATTCCAATTCCAAGAGACAAAAGGTTAAGAGACAACTAAAATGTGGCGTGATTTACTTTGGTAACTAATACCAAACTTCAACAGTAAAAAAAAGCCAGATTTGTGCAAACTTTAAGCATTAAATCAGACTGGTTTAAGAATAAATTGGTCTGGAGAAAAACAACAGTGAAAGCAGGACCTGTCTTCTTATGACTGTTATAAGTTTAAAACAATAATACAACAGAAAGTCATGATTAGATTAAATTCCCAGCACCTGAGTGTCATCTTGCTACAAGTTTTTCATTGTTCCCCTTAGAAATCCAAGTTTTAAATTTAAAAATAAAGAAACAACCTAAAACAAATTATTGAAACAATATTCTCTGATTTCATTGATCCCACTACTTCAAAACAATTCATAAAGCCTTTAGCAGAAACAAATGCATCACATATTTCTTTCTGGAGTTTAAGGTCTGACATTAATGACGCAGCTGGTCTTGATGTCTCTGAAAGCGGCGCAGTCAAAGTCGGCCAGTAGAGTCCTCTCCCCGCTCCTGTAGGGAACGATGCTTAATTCCACACACATTTTCTTATTTGGCATCAGATCTTCAAGTCTGTGGGCGACACAAAAACACAAGAGTCAGGTTTCTCCTTGAAGCTTGTCCACTTTTCAACACCTGTCCTGCAGGTAAACAAGGACAAACATACTTGACTGTTTGCTCCCAATCAATAAGTCCAGTTCCAGAGAGAGTCAGAGAGCAATCTGTCAGCGTCTCGCTGATCGGATTCATGAACGTCACCAAGACACTCAATATCTGATTCACTCTGGCTTCATCAGACACCTGAAACAAAAACACAAAATTTCAGACACAGAAAACGTTTTTATACAATAGAAGGAAGTGAAGATACAAATGAAATAAATGAGTTAAAAAGTTAGAAAATTTTAGGCAGATGTGGAGAGAGTAGCCAAAAAAAGTATTTGATACACAGTCAAGTACTGAGTAACTGATCAAATTATCAATCATTTAATATTTACAAATTACATCATCAGACGGATCATAATATAAAGTTATGGGAAAATGTTGGTATTTTAGAGATCAAAATGAAAATAATTCACATAAATAATGTTAAATCAGGAAAAGTAATCATTTTAATGCAAAACTTATGAAACTTTAACAGAAAGTGCAGGTGTGTGTTTGTGTCTGGTTAATTCTGGGTTAAAACATGTTTGATTTTCATTCAGTGGGCAGAAAATCCAGAAATTTTACTCAAGTAAGAATAGAAATACCTCATAATAAAATGGCTCAAGTAAAAGTAAAAAGTACAGAGGAGTACTTTTTTTCCCAAAATATTACTCAAATAAATGTAGCTAGTTTTACCCAACTCTGAATTTAGGTAAGAGGAGAGTTAAACAGCAAAGGAATCTCACAGTGATGGTGATTGGAGGGTCTTTCAGCACAACGCGGTTTGCTGCCAGGAATGTCTCATCGTTCTGGAGGTCAGTGATCATGGCTGAAATGTTCATGGTCTGGCAGTCTACCATGTATTTACTGTAGGTGATGTACGGGATCTGGATGGGGATGGTCAGATCTGAAAGATAAAAGATCAAATTTAAAGATTTCCACAGACTTCATGGTGTTTTCACACCTGATAGTCAGGTAAACTTGGTTCAATTAGAGACCAAAGTTGCAACATTTGTTACATTTTCAGCTGTTGGGGTTTGATTCCACACTGCATTGTGTCCAACAATCAAAACTAATTAAAAAACTTATTCCCCTCCTCACCTGTGGGGGCGCTACACCAAGAACAACTGAAGGAAACAACACAAAAACCTGAGCACAATTTGAAAACAAAAACAGAGTAGCATCTGACTTCAGCAACTGTAGGGTTTCTCTTTCATTTTTCATAAAACACCAGAAGCCATTTCTCCCGCTAGTGCTAAGCTAGCACATTTGTTTTGGATGAATTTACCCAGAATGCCCTGCGCTGTAGCCCACTTCCTGCTTCTGAAGCGGCTTCCGGTCCGCTACAATTTGAACCACAATGTAGTTCACTCCAGTCGAACCCAGACTGAGGTTTGTCGGTGGACCAGAGTTAAATTTTTTAGCTCGCATCAGAATTAGACTTCACATTCACTCCTCCCCGAACGAGCCGGACTTATTACCGGACTCATTTCTATTAGAGCTTAGTTACAGTGGACTAAATCACCTTTTCCAGGCAGCAGTTGTTTCTGGACGACCTCATTCTGGATGTTTCCTTTGGGTTGGCCGGTGTACGTCAGGGCCTGGACGTTGATGTTGACAGACAGCATCCTGGCAGCGCTGCCTTCACTTCTCAGCACCAGGTTCTTCTTCACATCCTGACCCTTTACTGGTGCGGACTCCTGCATTAGTTAAATTCAAAGAAAGAAGACAGACCAAGAACATGTGTTTATTGTTTATTCTGGGTTTTACTTTCCACATTTGGGCCAGATGATTCTTATCACATGTTGCTGGTCAAAACAACCTTAGGTGACATCTATGGAGCTAAATTAGGGCCAGAAAGTTTGTTCAAAAGAAAAAATTATTTGAAACAAAAAAAAGTTTAAAACTGGAAAAAAAAGTTTGAAACTGAAAAATTATTTTTGAAACTGGGACAAAAACGGTTTGAAACCGAAAAAAAAGTGAAAATAAAGATTTCAAACTGAAAAACAATGTTTTGAAACCAAAGGAAAAAAAACCTGTGAAACTGAAAAATATGTTCAAAAATACTTTTCAGATTTAAGATCTTTCTTTCTTTCTTTCTTTTTCTTTTTTTTTCTTCTTTTAAACAAACTTTATGGCTCCAATTTAGCTCCAAAACCTTCTGTGGGAGTCACATGACCACATTGGATAAACTTTCAATAGAATATTGTGGAATATAAAACAATATGTTTAGACTTTTCCTTGCATCTTTGGAAAACGTATGGTAATTTTATTCATGTATATTGCTGTAACTGCATGATGAAGCAAAGTCTGAGTTAATTTAAACTGGAACTGAAACGCTGAGCAGTAAACACGCTAACAGAGGCTAATGACATACCTCTTCAAATTTAACAATCAGCTGCGGAGTTGCGTGGCCATTCTCTGTGTCTGTGGTGTTGTTTATGACCAGTGCTTCAGGTTCGACAGCTATTGGACACACTGCAATTCTTGAATCATTGTCCAGTCTGGTCAGGGCGTATCTGAAAACGTCCCTTTCCCGCGCCGATCCTGTAATCCAGAGAGGAAACACAATGGAGTCACATTATTCAACATTTACCTGCAAAAGAAAGTATTCTAGTTCGTCATCTTTGATTAAAGTATATTTACTCATGTCTGCACAATTGAAACTGCAGTATAATTAGTATTTTATGCTTATGAATCCAAATTATTATACTACATATGTATACTTCTACGCTACCACACCTTTTTCAAAATGGCTGCTTGACATTTTGAAAATGTGAAAATCTATTGATGCTGGAAAAATGTAAAATAACATGTTGAACACATTGATTCACAAAAAGAAGGAAGTAAATTCTGAGAGGTAGTTTTGGCCCTGTTTTTCCATGTGAAGCAGCATTTAGTTTATATTATTCAATACTATTTTAAATATTTGTATATTATCATTCTAGCCTGGTGCTCTTGGAGGCCCCCTGGTGGTGTGGGGGTCCACACAGATGCCTAAATGCACCTGTTGGTGAATTAAAACAACACGGCGAATAAAGAGCTCCACAGTAATGCATTGAAAGGATTGTGTCTGGTGTGTCTGTCTGCTCACCTTCTGTGTATTTATAGGCACTCGTGATGTCCATCCGGCGGTTGGAACCAACAGCCTTGGTGGAGATGTACTGTCCAACACTCCTGGTGTCAGACTTCATCTGCACCTTGGATCCATCTCTTTTGATCTGGAATCACAGGAAAACATCTGTGTAAAACACAAGACTTCAGCAAGGTCAGCAGTTTGATGTCAGATATTATCAGTGTGTTTCTTTACATTCGTCTTGTAGAAATATAACAATAAAGTTTAATGACAGGATGAAGACTACTGTATGGACACATTGCAAAGATCCTGACCCCCTTCTCCCTGCTGGAGGGCAAGAAATGTTTTTGCTATCAAGTTGGCAACATAACGCAGTAAATCTTAAATATATGAGTGATATATAAAACAAAAAAGGATGCTGTGCTTCACTACCAATTGTCAACAGTATGACAACTAGATAAGGTTAAGAAAAAGTTTTACTAAAAAATTGGGAGAGAGAGAGAAGTAGGTCAGCTATGCTAGCTTGACTTTGAAAACCGTAACATGTAGATGTGCTGTGGAATTTGGCGTTTCGGTTCAACTATAAAAAAATAAATAAAAGGTGACCTACACACCAACTCTGACAGATCATCAGCTGAGCAGGTGTTTAAATTTGCTAAAGTGATAGATTAGCTAATCTACCACAGCGATCACTTATTCCAAAGATAAAAATCAAGTCTGAAAATTTTAATCTGTAACGGACTGTTTGGTCTGTTTTTGTGTTGAAAATGTCTGAGTGTTTTTTTGTTGTTTGTTTTTCTTGGTGTTGAATCCTGACACATTTGTGGTGTTGTTCTCAGCCAGTTGCCGTGGCAACAAGCAACGAGCAGGTAGCAAATCCGACACCAAAGAGCAAGAAAATAGAAGAATACGAGCGTTTCTGAGTAGTTCAACAGTTTGTCTGTGTTATTTCTCCCTCTGCTGTGGCGCACCGCGCTAAATTAATCATACCCACATCTCCAGGTTTCATAATGTTGTAGTCTTTTTGCCCTCCAGCCTTGTGCACAATTTTCAGAAGTAAACAATGCAACATGTCTATAAATTCCATCCAGTTTTTCATTTTTATCCCTAAATGTGAGTCTGACAATGTAATGGCTTTGCCTACTGACCAGCCAGGTAACACGGTCAGCATTGACCTCAGCGAAGACAAATGGTACATCATATTTCAGGTCAACGTCCCCGTTCAAGATGGCCGCTACTGGAGCTGGACCACAGCAGAACACACCTGCAAGACAAATGGCAGTTTAACATCCCGGTGTTACACCACATTCTGTGACCGCTGGGTGTTAGGACCATCGGAGGCTCTGGAAAAATAAAGAAAGAGCCAAACAAAGAATAAAAAACTCACTCTAGTAAAATCCTAAACTCTACTGCTGAAGTATTTCTTATTTTTCTGACAATGTGGTGACAGTATTTGACATTTCCATAATAGTCATTATATAAGTGGTGAAATGTTACTTTAAATTTTTTGTTTGTTTTTTTCTTTATTTTTCCTCTTGCGTCTGATTTCTATACATTTTAACAGCACTTTTACTTTACTTTGAACAGAGATAGATTGAGATCAATAAATATCAAATAAATTCTGTAAATACAACTCAAATTTAAAACCCACGGTTCGGTACCTTCACTCTTTTCCTGCGGCGTTCCATCCAGAACCTGCCAGCCGTCATATCGCCCGTCCTCTCCCAGATCCGGTCGTCTCATCCACCCCTCTACCCAGACATGGAAGTTCCTTTAAATACAACCCAACGGGGAAATGCATGAGTGTCCTGATGGTACAATGAGTGAAAAAATGAATCTATTGACATTGCACAAGTCAGCAAAACTGAAACTGTGAAATTAATATTTCTGACAGTTAGTCACACAATGTCTTTTGATTCCTGTGCTTTGAAGATTAAATCTAAGGATAATGTGCATCTCAGAAGGAGAAATTAGTGTATTTTACCAGACGCTGTCATTGGACTTTTTCGGTCTGACACCAAATTCTCCGTAGTAGGTGTCGATGGTCAAGTTTGCGTTGGAGTCATGAGCGGACTCGAAGTTAGTGACAACACGGCAGGGGATTCCCAACAGGCGCATCACTGGAACCAAATACAGCATGATTTGGGTTAATTATCATATAAACTCTTTAGTGTAATAATTCTCCTTAGTGCTTATTTTAGCACTTTAAGATCATCATCTTTGTAAACCTAAAATCTGTTACATTCATTTCATTAAACATTCATTTGTCTGCTTGATATTTAATAAAAGTGGTCACATTTTTATCAGCTGAATAAATACAAATGTAGATTTCAGGCTGTTTCAAGCATTTGGCATGATGAGGTGAGTGAATGTTCACAAATTCAGTCGAATGAACACAGAAAAATTTGATTAAATAAACATCATGTGGTAAAAGTAGAAGGCAGAAAGAAAAGGCCAAAAATGTTTCCCATGAAAACATAAAATAAAAAATAACTCATAATAGCCATAATTTTAAAAAAAAAAGTCTATTTTTGCTCATCATGATGCTGGGAAATGAGAAACATCGTCCACCAACATCACATCCCTGCTAAATCTTTACTTCTTAATTTGAACCTGAACACCTAACCTTAAAACCAGATTTTCATTTCTTTTTTAAATTTTAAACAGGTTTCAAAAACAAAAACAAAACCAGTAGAACAAGTGACAACATGTGCATTCATACCCAAGAGCAAAGTAATTAGCTTACCACTGCTTTTCTGTTTGAACTGTAAACACACTGAAAAGCTTTGAAGGAAGATCTGGATGATCTCACCTGAACACAGGACGCCGGCGAACACCCAGCACTGTCCGTAGTTGACAGCTTTGCAGAAGGAGGCGTACCACTGCTTCAGGATGGCGTAGCTGCCACTCCAGTGGGTCGGTGGGAAGCCATATTTAAAATCGCCTGACCAGTTTCCCCGCAGGACGCCATCGTTCATTTGATCTTTGTTAACCTGAAGGGAACAATAAAAAATAAAGAGCAAAGTTAATATTTTGACAAGGCAGAGCTCATTTATATGTTTCCAACTTAATTAGTTTAGAAGTTTTTAGTTATGTTATTATTCTAAATGAGAAAACACAAATTTTATTTTTATTTTTTATCATAAACATTACATTAAATGTGGCCATTATGTTGAGTTCTGTCAATTTACTTTTTCTTAGAACCAAAATCTGAGATTAATTTTTATATTTGAAATTGTTTAGATCACTTTGGTAACTTTTAGACCTGACAGTAATCCCACATTCACCAATATATTGTGGCTAAAATCTATCTGTAAACGAAAGTGAATGTTTTCTTAGTTTACACAAAATTTAATATGAAATATATAGAGCAGTTCCTACCATGTTGGTCATGACACGGCTGACGTAGATGGGGTTACAGCGAGCAGAAACGTCGTCAGCCGGATCCCGCTTGTGTTTCCTGCTGAGGTCGAGTAACTTCAGGCATATCTTCACCATGTCCTCTTCAAACTGAAAGGAAAGAAAAATATTCATAAACAGCATCTTATGCAGCAAAATTTATTAAAAATTCAAGTATTTGCACCAAAGCAAATACTTGAGTGTATTAAACTAATATAAAATTTATTCTAGGACACACATTTTTCTTTTTTTCAAGAGAAAACAAACAGTTTTGGTGTTTTTTCAAAATAATAGTACACCAAGCATTCCTCATGTTTCTATTTTCGGTGTGTTCTACCTGTCCAAAGTCCCAGGAAAGTCCATTAATGTGATGATCAGAACCTGTGTAGATTATTCCATGTTGGTTCAAAACGTATTCTTGTCTCTCCGCCTCGTTAGGAAGAAACACCCAGTCATCTACACAAAGAGAAAATTATATATATGAAGCTTCCATCAACATGAAGGATTTTGTTTAAGTGGGGTCGTGTGTGGTTGCTACGCGCAGTCAGTGTCTTTTCAATGATTAAAATATGTAGAAATTGTCCACCATTTTGATAGGAATGAGCAATCATTTTGGTTTTTGTTGATGAGTAAACAGAAAATGTCCTACCAGAACACCAAGGATTGAAGAGCACAAAGAGTTGTGCCAACTCCTTTTCTTCAGCTTTAAGTCCTGCAGAAAGTTTGTACTCCCCGACCGGAGCGTCAGCGGGCGGCGTTATCGTTAGAGCCAACGTTCCTGTTTCAGGAAGGCTGTTTTCCTGAAGCTCTGCTCTCCAGACTGCTTTAGCACGTGATGAACGTTTCACTTTGTCTGGAAAACCAAAAGATGACATCGTCCCTTGCTCCTGAGATGGATGTTTTCCTGCGAAATAAAACACAATTCACATTGTACTTATTGATGCTAAACAAGTGAGCAATGCCTTTGACAACTTAACAGTCAAATAAATTATTCATTTTAAACAGAGAATTGATAAGAAAAAAAAAACATTTCATATAAATAATAAAAAAGAACAAACCAGTCACAACTTTCATGGTGAGCTGATCAGAGTCAGGGTTGAAAGGTTTAGTCATTTTCAGGGTTATGTTGAACGGCTGGCCTCTCCTCACAATCAGCTGGTTCACTGAGATGGAGCTGGTGTGGTGGGCCTTGTTGTTGGTCGCACAGTTCAGGTCCACTTCCTGAAAAGCTGAAGGGAAAATGGAAACGTTAAAAAAATTTAAAAATGTAATTTCGCTGATAAAAGGTGTAAAAAAGTGTAAAAATTTGATGTAAACTTTTATGGAAGTATTTATTAAGACATTTATTTTCAACTTGATGCTGCAAGAAAACTATTTTTTTCATAGGAATAATAGAAATGCATTTCTTTTGCAGATTACAGACAGATACAGTTTAAAAAAAGAGTGTTGGGTTTTTATTGTTTAGGTGAAATATGTAAAGTAATTTGTCTGAGAAAACAAAAAATACTTAGTTTCTCTTGCATCGAATGTAATTGAATGTTTTGGTGAGTTTTGACAAGAAGTGTCCTTTTCTTTCTAAGTCACAATTAAAATCTTAAAATCAGCGTTCAGTTATTCTTTTTTGCTAACTTTCTAATATATTTTTAATTACTGATGTGATCTGCTGTCGAAATGTGATTGAACACCGATTCCCTTTATCTGCTAATTATGAATGACCACAAGTCACATCAGCAGATAAAAATACTCAGATAAAACTGACTTACTACTGGGCTAAGGTCGATATCAGGGTTGAAACAATTAGTCACATTAATCATGATGAATTTGTTATTTAAAAAAAATGTTCAGAGCAATAATTAAGCCAAAACTGTACAAAAATATATATTTGCACTTACCTTTGTGTATAATCAAGTCACAGTTATAGATTCACATTTTTCTAATTATGTAAAAACAATCACCTATTGCTTTCCAATAATTTAACTCTTAATCCAAAATATTGTCAAAGATCAGCGCTAGACTGTGTCTAATTTAAAGTTGAGCATCTATGTTTATGCTATGACCAATCGTTCACTAAAGGAATGGTGTTATTGCATTTTAGGCAATAACATGTTTATTTTCTTACATAAAAAAGGAATTTCATTACTTGTTTATTTGCATCTTTTTACTGTATTTTTTAATTCAAAAAATAAAAATTAAATGTTAAAAATGAATATGCCAGTTTCATTGATAGTTTAATTGATGGCTGAAATAATCACAGTTTAAGCCTCAGTCTAAAACTTATTAAAGCTTTTCATTTAACTGCATTCAATAATAATACAGTCTAGTTTCTATAAACATTGATGTTTTTTATACTGTACCTGAATGCCAGTGATTTTTGAACCGGTTTTTGAGCAAGTTGAACCCATTAATGGTGCTGCACCCATTAATGGTGCTGCACCCATCGGTGCTGGACCCATTAATGGTGCTGGACCCATTAATGGTGCTGGACCCATTAATGGTGCTGGACCCATTAATGGTGCTGAACCAATTGGACCACCGGAAGCCGTTGGTGTCGCTGAAGCTGCCTGAGCTGCTGAAGTCGTTGGAGTGGAACATCGTTGTTTCCCTGCTCAGCTTTTCCACTTGAGACGATGAAACGGTTGAAGGCTTTCAGTCTGGAACTGAACTGGGAGCCGACTCTCCGCTGGCCGCTTTTAAAGGTCATCGTCACACCCAACATTTACCGAATGGGAGGAATCCATACTGGGAACAAAATTTTAAATTCCAAAGAAAGTGCACCAGGTGTCATGAGTAACAGATTTTGCAAATGATGAGGTTTCTGAAAGGGTGTGACTCAAAGTTGCAAAACATTTTCAAGATAAATTTTGTAATTTTACTACATAGTTTTCAAATTTGAATTTTTTTAAGCTAACAAGTAATTCATGTTTTGGTCATTTTTAAAAATATTCAACAATATTTTTCAGATTTTTTAAATATGACAAAAGAGCAACTTATAGAAAACCATTTAATTAAGGATTCACATTTATCTAAGACTGTAATTTAATCATAAAAAATATATACTTGTATAGTTTTTCAAACTTTATCTTGATTTAAGGAACATGACAGCTCTCCTCTCAGAAAGAACAGAAAAAAAGAAAGAAGTGGCTTTAGGGACCACTATGGTAGAAAACCTCTTTATTGGTCAAAAATACTTTACAGTTTATGTTGAATTGATAATTGTATCAATTTAAACATTTTGGAACAAAATGGAGCGATTGGATCAACTGATATTTGTTGGATTTAATGGAAAACAAGACTGCATGCTGTTAGAAGAAACACCAAAAAACAACATGATGTAAAATATGTTTTTAACTGTAGTTCTCTGCTGTGACATTTGTTTTCCTTCAGTAAAGGAATTTATAGAAACAACAAATGTTTTGTTTCCACTGAAAGTGATCAGTGTGTCATCTGTGCATCAGAATGTCATCAGTGGTTTAATGGGCTCCAGTGAAATGGTCTCACCCTGGGTGGAAGCTCCAGGGCTGAAAGCCTGAGTTACAACACAACCAAGGCGTTTAGGCAACTCTACAGGCAAGTGTGGCAACATATCTGACGTTAACTATTTGATCTGTATCTCTAGACCAAATGTAGCTCTTTTTTTATGTTTTGTTTTTGAATTAATCAGGACCAACTTCATATATAAAGACAAACGATGCAGTACACTACCAAAGCCATGGTAAAATCACTGTTTTCCTTAGATTTTGTTTCCACTGCTACAGTAATGATGTCATGGATGACTGGTCGTTTGCTTATCGAGACAAAATTGGTCTCAAGCCAGATGATTTGCATTTACGTAGACAAGAAAAGCAGAAAGTTGGGAATCAGGTTTCATTTTCTTGGTTTTTAAGAGCTTTTAACTCTGTCCAGTCCCATAAAGGGGACCCATATGAAAAATACATATTGTGCACATTTTTGTTCTTCCATTTGGATCTCAACTGCTTCTAAGAACCAAATTTCAGTTATATGAGGCTTTTCAAAAATCTTGGGACTATAACATCACAAATGAGCAGGCACTGCCCCTTAACATGTTACCTAGCAACCCCAGCAAAGACCAGCCTGTTACCTAGCAACCCCAGCAAAGTCCAGCACGTTTGGTCAGCTGGTTTTAACGCTGTAAGTGCCGCTGGAAAAGATAAGCATTTTGTTGCTCATGTACCATCCAGAAACCACTTGCTGAATTCTTTTGGTTGTGCAGGAAGCTGCACTTCTGCTTTTCAAAGAGGCATGATTGTACAATTGTTTATCTATTTGCAGCCATTTTCATATAAACGTTGAGTTTGGGGGGTCGTGGCGATAATCTCAAATTATGTGCTTTTTTTGGTGAACTTTAATAGAGCCTCAAAATGTAAAATCATAAAACCTTTACCATTTTGTAGATGCATATATGTATGTATTGTTTTACCACGTATGTTTATAACCGGTATATGTATATACATGCATATCTGACAAATGAACCAAAGCAATCGCTTGTTTTAAGTCAATAATTCCTTAACCTTTATATATAAAAT